AGTGTTGGGACTGAAGGATCTGAGGGCACCTGGAAGTTCACCTGATTCAATCTTAACTGTTCTGACATTCAGCCTTTGTTTGAACGCATGCAGAGATAAGAACATTCATTTATTTGTGCAACCTCCCTGTAGGTATAGGCTTGGTGGCAGGAGGGTAAAGGAGGACACAGAGCTCTCTACATTTTGATTCCAATGTCTCAATGTTTTTGGTGCTCAGAAACAACTTTATCGTCTTCCTTTTTTTTTTTTTTTTTTTTTGGTCTTCCTATTTCTGCCAAGGAATGAGTCCAGGAGTAGAATCCTGCTCCTTCTCTTCTGATAAACACTGCAATTGTTTTCTCTTCCTTCTGAGTACCCAGCATGGGTTGGACCAGCACCTTCTTTAGTCTTGTTGCAGGAAACGGACTTCCCACTCTGGCTCTGGGATCCAGACCCAGTCTTGGCTTTTCTGAGAAAAAGTAGACTCTGGCTTACTCTTCTGGATTCTCCATTCCAGTCATGTAGCTTATGGCTGTTGCCCAAGTTCTCTTTACCAGCCCTTGGAAAAGAAATCCTGATGTACAATAGTTGTTGGCTTTGCCACATCAGCTGCCTCCTAACTAGGCCAACTTTCCCACTGTCCCTGTTGCTCTCAGTTTTTCTTTCCTCCTGAGCTGGGCTCCCAAGGGCTGTGGCCCTGGGTCTCCTGTCCAGTTCCTGCCCTACTCCACCATCTGGTCTGGGCTTTCTGAGTTTTATCATGAGCACCCTTCTCCACTCAGCAGTTTTCAGCCTCTGGTCTCTGACCCCAGTTCTTGCACTGGGAACTTCCACATTGAAAACTTGACAAAATGCCTGCCTATAGCATGTTATAGCAGGTTTTGAGTTATCTGGGGGAGCTGTCAAGAAGCCAGGTTAGGATGAAGCAAGACAAGAAACAATATTATTTCTGGGGCTGGGGCAGCCCCAGTCAAGACGGTCAGCCACAGCCCGATAATTCTCCCTGCAACCTAGAGGAAGGTTAAGCCCAACACTTGCAACCTGGAGGAAGCTCCTGTCAGAAACGGGCTCTACTGACATGTCAGAAAACAGAACAGACAGCTTAAGAGATCTTCACTACTACTTCCCTGCTTTCACAGCAGGTGTCCTGGTAGTACAAACCCCAGGTGTGAAGCTGCAAGGAGGGATCCAGTTCCAGGACACCAAGAACACCCAGCTACTCAGCAATCTCCTTCCACTGTGAACCTCAGGGCACGTGAACACAGCACAGGCACCCAACAATTCCGCCAAGGCCTGCAGGAGTGTTGTGCCTGGTCCAACCCAGAGTGTCAACAAACATGTCTTTCCCAACATTGTTACAAAGTGCAAGGATAGAGTCTCCCAAGTGTGCAGCTGCTTTCACCTACCTTGTCTCTTGGGATCCTCATGATAACCCTGAGAGGTGGGAAAGGGGGCTATTCTTAACCCCATTTGAGAGATGAAGAAACTCAAGCTTAGAGAGGGAATGGGAGAACTTGAGGCCACCTAGTGATAGGCTGGGACTAAACCCTGGGTCTCTTGACTCCTGGTTCAGTGCTCAACCCACTAAGCAGCCTTTCAGAAGCATTGGGACAAGCAAGAATGCCCCAGGAGATAAGGACATCCCAGTGCTCCCCACTGGCCAAAGCAAAGCACACCATGCAGAAGCATCCTCATGTTCACAGATAGCTGCTCCGACCTCCTTTAGCACAGACACAGCGCAAGCCTCCACTGATGCTGTGCTTGCAAAACACAAATATCTAGCACTTCCAACAGCCAACTAGACCCGGCAGAACCTTGGAGACAGGCTTGACTTCACCCAACACAATACCACTGCCACAGAGTTAGACACTACCTAGGCCCACCTTGTCCTCAAGCATGCTACCCTGCTCAGAGCACCTTCTACTTTCCTCTCTCATCAAGGCCACAAACCTGAATTTGGCCTCTCTTCTGACCACTTGTGCTACAAAGTGTCTGCTCCTTGTTTATCTCCAGACTCAACCTCTTCCCTAGCTGCTGAATTTCATATGCCAGTGAATCAATCAGCAAAAGCTCTCAAGCCGGACCAACCTCTTTTTCTCCCACTTTGGGACCTACTAACTCCCCCACCAACCTCAGTGGTTCAGTGGTGTCTGCAAAATGCATCCATCCTGCCACCTGAGTAGCAGGTGAGAGTTATGGGCCCAAGCTTGGGAAGAACCTCTCTCCTTCTGTTCTGACCTGCTGGTCTCCTGGAACTTCCCATTCTAAGCACCACAAGCTTCTTGGGAAGGAAGGGGTAGCAAATAGCTAGCTGGGTGATGAAGGTGTTTATCATTCAGTGGGAAGTGGGGGGGCAGGCTGTGCAAAGAGTGGAGTCTGAGGCAGGGTGATTGAGACACCCCTAGGCCTCCCATACACGCTCAGGCCCATCCTCTGGAAGTGAGGAAACAGTGGGCACATTACCTCGGTTACAGATACTGCAGAAGTTGCTGGGCCCCTCGCTGTGCTTCTTCAGGTGGTCTGCCATGTATGCTGCCCGCAAGTACTTCCCACACACCTGGCAGGGCACCTTGTCTTCATGACAGGCCAGGTGGGAGCGCAGACGGTCTCGGGTGGCAAAAGAAGCATTGCAGGTCTGAAGGCAGAAAAGAAAATGGGATGAGGTGAAACCCAGCACGCCAGACCTGACTCCCCACCAAGTGCACCATGAAGCAAAGGCAATTTCTGGCCATCACGTGACCTCCCTTTATAAAGAGAGCTTTAGAGTTTGGCTCAGGCTCTCTACCCAGAATGCCAAGAGGCTGTTCTTATTTCCCATAGTGCCTCCTTACGGGACAGTTGAGTGGGAATCACTGGTACTAACTAAATGACTACTGGAAATGTGCCCAGGACATGGCAAGCTAAGCTCTATACCCCTCTACACAATGAAGAGTTACACATTTGCTCCTTAGACATTAAGAACTGACTTTAGGTGCATTAGCTATAATGCACAGAATTACATTTACATGAATTTACAGATGAGTTATTGGCATATAAACCAGCCTTACTGTTCTCTATCCCTGGGTTTCCCCTAGTTGTTTTATACAAAGAATTCTATTTATTCATTTTATTCAAAAGTGACATTAGTCTTGGCCAGGGAAATGGAAAGGAAAGGCAGGACAAAGCGCACAGATAAATCTTCGTAAATTTTCATGAGTTTGAATTGAAAAAGCAGCCCAGGCCGGGCGCGGTGGCTCAAGCCTGTAATCCCAGCACTTTGGGAGGCTGAGGCGGGTGGGTCACGAGGTCAGGAGATCGAGACCATCCTGGCTAACATGGTGAAACCCCGTCTCTACTGAAAAATACAAAAAACTAGCCGGGCGTGGTGACGGGCGCCTGTAGTCCCAGCTACTCGGGAGGCTGAGGCAGGAGAATGGCGTAAACCCGGGAGGCGGAGCTTGCAGTGAGCTGAGATCCGGCCACTGCACTCCAGCCTGGGGGAGAGAGCGAGACTCCGCCTCAAAAAAAAAAGAAAAGAAAAGAAAAGAAAAAGCAGCCTATGAAATGATAGTGGCAATTCTGACCACGTGAGAATTAGCAGACAGAACAAGGGCCAGAGTCTTCAAAAGTGTCTGTGGGCCGGGCGCAATGGCTCATGCTTGTAATCCCAGCACTTTGAGAGGCCGAGGTGGGCGGATCACCTGAGGTCAGGACTTCAAGACCAGCCTGACCAACATGGTGAAACCCCATCTCTACTAAAAATACAACAAATTAGTGTAATCCCAGCTACTTGGGAGGCTGAGGCAGGAGAATCACTTGAACCTGGGAGGGGAGGTTGCAGTGAGCAGAGATCCCGCCACTGCACTCCAGCAGGGGGAACAAAGCAAGACTCCCTTTAAAAAAAAAAAAAAAAGGCCGGGCGCGGTAGCTCAAGCCTGTAATCCCGGCACTTTGGGAGGCCGAGATGGGCGGATCACGAGGTCAGGAGATCGATACCATCCTGGCTAACACGGTGAAACCCCATCTCTACTAAAAAATACGAAAAACTAACCGGGCGAGGTGGCGGGCGCCTGTAGTCCCAGCTACTCAGGAGGCTGAGGCAGGAGAATTGCGTAAACCCGGAAGGCGGAGCTTGCAGTGAGCCGAGATCGCGCCACTGCACTCCAGCCTGGGCGACAGAGCAAGACTCCATCTCAAAAAAAAAAGCTGGGCACGGTGGCTCACACCTGTAATCCCAGCACTTTGGGAGGCTGAGGCAGACGGATCACGAAGTCAGGAGATCAAGATCATCCTGGCTAACACACTGAAACCCCATCTCTACTAAAAATACAAAAAAATTAGCCGGGCGAGGTGGCGGGTGCCTGTAGTCCCAGCTACTCGGGAGGCTGAGGCAGGAGAATGGCATAAACCCGGGAGGCAGAGCTTGCAGTGAGCCGAGATTGCACCACTGCACTCTACCCGGGGCGACAGAGCAAGACTCCGTCTAAAAAAAAAAAAAAAAGCATTTGTGAAAGGTTAGGCTGGGGAAGTGCTGGTGATAGCAAGGATGATGATACTACCCTGTATTGATTGTGAGCCAGGCAGGCACGGTGCTCACCCTTTTAGAGGCACTTATCTCATGCAACCCATCCTGATGGCAGCCCTCTGAGGCAAGCTGTGTGATTACCCTCCAAGAGAGCATGGCTTTGGAAAGCTGTGGTGTGAGCTGAGCACCAACTCACAGCCAGGCCTCCGGGTCGGATGAGTCAGGAGCTGAAGGTCAGAACCAGTACCCTGGAAGGAGGACCAGGTTGGCAGGCATTTCCTGTAATTTCCTGTACCTGAGGACCTGACTGAGTACCAGTGATCAGTCTCCTCACAACATCCCTTCCTCAGCTGGAGCTTGCAAAGGCATTCCAGCTGTGGGGGTCACAGAATATTGGGAAAGCCCTAAGAGCTGAATCAGTTGGCTTTCAAGGTATTTTGGTTCCAGGGAGGTGTTTAATGGGTTCTAGTCAATTTTGACTCATTTCTTTTTTCTGTGTGTGTGTTTACTGTTTTAGAACTGTAAGAGAAAGCAACATTCACCTTTAAATGTGTTACGGATCAAATGGTAACCCACTGAAGACCACCCCATTACCTTGTGCTAGAACGGAACTGCCTCTACCATCTCTCTTTAACAGAAGCACATCCTGAGAACCTGAGAGCTCAAGGTAAGTGTCTGAACACTGTCACCACATACAGACATCTAACTATCTCTTTACTGTACAACCATAGCAAGAAACAAATGCATGCAATGCTGTCAAGGTAGAAGACACCACTGTTTACTATCCCAGTTCCAAATATCTGTGTATGTTAGCACAGCCTACCTAGCTCTTATGTCATTATCTTTTTAAGTAAATATACATTTGAACTGAATTTGTAGCAATGAAATACTGCTTTTATCTGTTTTATATATTCAGTGTATTCATATCATAAATGAGGAAACTAACTTTAGAAGATGAACTTGCTTAAAACACTAGACTCAGCTATTAAAGAGAGTCTAGCACACCCACCCCCACCACACCCAGGCCAGTACTTTACCAGTCCTCCTGGCCACCCCAGGGGATTCTGATCTCTCCCAGTTTACAGCTGGGCCAGTGGAGGCCCTGAGAGGATGAGACAGCTGGACTAAGAACCAGTCCCACAGCCTGTGCTCTTATCATCTCCAGATTCAGGAGAGGGAGCTTCTGCTGAGTGAAAGGTGCTCATACTTTATAACACAGTGTACAGTACTTGGCAGCCAGGACCCCCAAAAGGGAAAGGTGAAGAGATTTGTGCAAGGAAATTCCAGCATGTAGGTAAGTCAGAAAGCACCATGGATGCTTGCTCTCACGGCTACAGGTGGGCCCCACCTCAGCCACGGACCTCATGACCCAGTGACAGGCCACAGTAGGAGAAAAAAAACTCCGAACCTCTACACAGCCCAGCAGTCTCTAAACTGGGGCAGGGGCTGCATAAACACCCCCAGAAAAGAGAGGTGCACCTGTTGGTTTATTTGGGGACAAGACCCAGCTTTGCCAGGCAGCGACCCAAAGACCACCCCCTCCAACAGTGAGAGAGGGTGTGTTCTAAGCCTCAGAGCTCAAAGGAACCAACATGGATCAGGTATAAGAAAACAGGGCTGAGGCCGTGCGCAGTGGCTCACGCCTGTAATCCTAACACTTTGGGAGGCTGAGGCGGGTGGATCACAAGGTCAGAAGGTTGAGACCAGCCTGGCCAATATGGTGAAACCCTATCTCTACTAAAAATACAAAAAAATTAGCCGGGCGTGGTGGTGGGTGCCTGTAGTCCCAGCTACTCGAAAGCATATTCAGGATTTTGTCTTCCACAGTCCCTAGGAGAGGGAGCCACAACATGGATAGGCAAGAGATGCCTTGTTTCTCTTACCAACCTTTTTTTAAGATCTGTCCTCTAAAGGCTTTGCCTGTCATGCTTTGCTACCTAAAGATGATGGACAGCCAAACTTCAATTATCCACAAGTCGCTTATCCATTTGGGGATTAGCTAAGCAAAATTAAAATCCCAGACTGGGCTGGCTTCCCCCACCCTGTCCTCCATTGATTATCTCTCAAGGAATGAAAGCTAACTTTCGCCTGAGCAAACAGAATTAGGAATGTAAATCTGCTGCTGGGGGAAGAAACAAAAACATGACAAAAGCTTTCCCTGTGTTCAAAGCCAAGCTGAAGAGATTGTTGGCTTCTCTGTGCCAGGATTGACCCTCTGTGGCTGCAGTCCCTAGGTTTTCTGGGGAGCCTGTGAAACTCCAGAGTCTAGGCACAGCAGAAGTTCAGACAACACAGAACATGAAAGAGCCTGGTCACACAACCCAGGAGAGAAGGGGCGGAGGGAGACAGATCTCAAAGGGAACATCCAGAACTTCCATGCTGGGGTGTCAGGAGAAGAGCATTCTTTGTCCTAGAGACAGGGAGAAGACAGAGGGACGCTGATGGGAAGAGAGCGAGCCAGAGGCAGAATGCTGTGACTGCCTGTGGCACTCAGAAGAGCTGCCTGGCCCACAGCCCTGTGCTTAGACAGCCTGCTGTAGTTAAGGGCCATGCCTGCCAGGTCCTGGCCCAGGCACCCTGAGTGTTGGTCATCACCACTCAACGCTGAGCCCCAGTCCTGATCCCTTCCCAGACTTCCTTAAGTTTTTCTTCCTAAGGATTGAGCAGCTTGGGAATGGGGCCCAAATGGTACCAAGGGCACTAGTGCACACCCCTACCCTTGGTGGCCCTTGAACTCAGGCAGCCTTAGGGGTAGTCTCGAGCAGCCTTCTCCCACAGCACTGGAAAACCCTTAAGGGCAATGCGTGAAAGTTCAGCTCCCTGGGCTCTTTGGCCCCCTTCTTCTCAAGCATATGCCCATCTCAACGCATTCCTTCTCTAACCAGCCCCCAAGAAGTGGAGCCTGTGGAAGCTAGGGAGGTCTGAGCTGCTCCAGCCTCTCAGCTTCAGGTTGAACTCCACGTGGGGGAAATGTCCCAGCCCACTAAGCTCATAAATCCAGCAGTACTTGGGGCATCTGGGCCAGTTAAGAACACTCAGGCCAAGCCCCAAGGAGACATGCCACTGTCAAGCCTGAGGCTTCCTGTCCCTACATTCAGATGGCCCTTCTACTTAAGCTATGGCACTAGTCTCTTGTAATTGGCCTCTTTCATTCTCTCTGGCATCACGAGGGGATGAGCAATAGGGACTGTGCCTAGCCAGTGGGGGACCCAAGGAACGAACTCCCAGAGAGCTGTCTCTTCACCTCTGATGTTTTCAGCACCCCCACACCATGCCAACAGATGCCCCTGCTGTTTAACCAAGCCCAGGCACACCTCGCTGGCCAGCCCAGAGCACGAGAGCCAGCATGTCTTCACCTGCTGGGTCCCTGTTAGGGGAGTTGTGGCTATGGGGCTGGAGGAGGGGCCAGCAGGTCTGTGAGAGTGTATGTTGAAGGGGCAGGGCAGGAGCACATTTGTACACCAAGGGACAGTGATGTCAGTGTTATGACACAGACCAAGGACAAAACACACAAAGCCTCAAATGTTAGAATGAAAAATTTTATCATCACTCCTGTTCACCCCGCAGAGTCTGCGGGGTGCTAAAGGGCACACCAATGGGATCCAAGGGAGGGGGTCTACATCTGCTTTTTCAGCCCCCAAAGCCATATACTGGGATAGCCCAATAGAAAACTACTCATTGGTTTGGTTCCTGAGCAGACCTGCTAATAAACCTCAAAAACACAAAAGTCTACTTCACTAGCCAGAAATGAAAGCAGGATCTAGATCTGAGTGGGAAGGGCAGAAGGCAGCATGGGTTGACTCTAGTTGGAACTGTGCCAGTCTTCTCTGGAGGCCGACTCACTCCCGGATTGGGGAAAGGGGTGGCCGGACCCCAGTCTAGAAACCCCAGGCCTACGGGAAGTGATGCCAGGGGAGGGGAAGCAGATAAGCTGGTGGCTAGTTCCCAGGAAGGCACCAACCTCCAAAATCACCTAGGCAAGGACAGATGCCCAGGGGTGCCATCTGTGAAAGGGGGGAAAAGGCAAGAGAGCCCAGAAAGAAACTTGGATGCTATAGGGGGTTCCAGAAAGGTGCTCCTTACTACCCCCATTTAGGGGCTCTGAGATGGAACAAGTCACCCAGGGAGGAGCTGGGCATGGTGGGCAGGAACCACCCTGCTAGTCTCTCCCAACAGCAGGGGTCTCAGGCCAACTGCCACTCTTGTTCCCCTCCACTGGCAACCCTCTCCAGGGAGGCCCAGGCTAGCCAACAGGCCACTGGGTAAAGGCCCTGCTGCCCTCTGGGGTGGTCCAGCCCTGCCTCAGATATCCCGGCGGGGCTGGGCAGAAGAGAGCGTTGCTGGAGTGTGCTGGGCCCAGGTTTTCAAGGGCTGGGAATGATTTTTTTAGAGAAAGGGAAAAGGCGGTGTCAGGAACCGAATGGGACGACCTCCACAAAGCAGGCTGGGCAAAGTCCCATGATGGCAGGTCGCTAGGAAGAGGTTCCAGGGGCGGCAGGCCGCTGCTGCTCCCAACCCACACCTGGAAAAAGGGCAGAGAGTGCAGGTTACCCCCCCAGGCCACCGGGCTTGCCCCCACTGCCCTCTGGGCTCCTCCTACTCTGCCCGGGCTACTCAGCACACTACCTGAGTCAGAATGTGCTCTGTGATGAGAGAAACAGAGAGAGAGAAGGCAGCAAGGCAAAGACAGATCCCCACAGGCCCGCCCTGGGCCATCCTCCAGGAAACTGCCTAGCCCAGCACCTGTGAACATCGTCCACACCTGGCCCCTAGGGGCTCTGCCCTACTTACAGCATTCATCCCTCCCTGCTGGTCTCCCTGAACCCTCTCCCCTTGCCACCAACAGGATAAGGAGAAGCAGGTTATCCTATCAGAGGCTGCAATGCACACCCCACAATCATGGCTCACCCTCAATTGGTGGGAACTTGGCACGGGAGAGGGGAGATAACCAAGGAAAAGACAGAAATGTGTTCGCTATGCAGACAAGAATGCTCAGTGTCCAGGAGAGGAAACTCAATCTTCTGGGCACCAGCAGGGACCCCAAATATTGTTCAAGCAGGTAAACCAAGGGTGAGAATCTATCTGGTTTAGCTTTCCCTACTTGCTACTTTGCAAAGAGCTCAAAGAAGAGGAGCCCACTTTGCTCTCCAGTCCTCCAGAAACCCTGGCTCAGGGTGGGTTAAACAGGAGCCAGTGTGGGGAAGAGAACCACCCACTCCCTACCTCCTACCTCCCCCACTGCCTTGTGCCCTAAGCTGAGGGGACCCGGGAGGACCTCTAACTGAGGTCAGAAAAGGGGAAGAGTGGTTGGCTGGACCACCAGGAGCCCTTTTTAAAAAACCTGCAGTCCCTACAAACTGCTGGAAACCAACAGCCAGGCCCAGCACAGGGCTGGATCTCCCAACACAACATCTGTGCGATCGTTCCACTATCCAAGGAGCCGGCAAACACCAGGAGAGGAAAGCCAAGCAACAGAGTGAAGGCAAAGACGGGGTGGGAACCAGGACCAAGCAACCAGGAAGGAGGAACATCAGCTGTGGGGGAAGGGGGCCTGGGGGAAGAACAAAGGAGGAGAGCAGAGGGAGGGTGGAGGAACAGAGGGGAGGTGTGCAAAGCGGTGGGCAGTCAGCCGGGCCCCCGGCACACGCAGCAGCTGGTTCATGGCTGCGACCGTGAGAACAGCAACATCTCCTTCAGCCCATCTCTGCCCTGGCCCAGCCCCTACCTGACACTTGTGAGGCCGTTCAGAAGTGTGCACCTGCTTGATATGTCCATTCAAGTGATCAGGCCTGGAGAAGAGAGAACCAAGAGGGACTTTAGAAACTTGGCCAAACCCCACCACACAGGCACACATACATACGTGTGTACACACACACACACACACACACTGCTGGAGAGGACTCCCTCTCCTCCACCCCAGCATGACAAAGACAAAGTCACCACCCAGCTCTGGCTCCACAGGCCCAGGCCTCTCTGCCCTGGTTTTCTCTGGAGGGGGAAGGGAAGTGGGCATTTGTCTCTGATCTTCCCTCCCCACCCCCTCAATTCCCCCCCACCAGAAACTCAATGTTTTCTAGGACCAGAGGCGGTGGCAGTAGAATGAAACAGAGCTGCCTCACTGCAGCCTTTCCAGAGGAGGGGGTATGTGTGATTCATTGTCCAGACTAAAGCCCCTTAGAAACTCAGCAATCCCCTCCCCCAGCCTCTCCCGCCACGGGCAGCCAATGAATGCCACCCGGATGGAATTCAGTCCCCAGAGGCCAACAGTGGAGCCTTAAGTCCCCAGCTGGGCTGGTAAGCCAGATGCCCGCCTGAGCAGGTGGGCAGGGGCTGCCTGACCGGTAAGACTGGTTCCCAGTTGGGGCCCTCTGAGGGAGTTCTCCATCCCTGTGTTCACACACACAAGGTCCTCCAATCCAGGTTAAAACCAGCCTTTTAGGAGAAAAACAAAACCACCCTCTGCTCCCAGACAAGTCCTCAGTTCCCCAACACGCTAACTGGAAAGTAAACCTACATAAAGATCCTGCCCCATTCCTTTCTGTCCTGAGAACATAAAGGGGCTCTGTGGGTTAGGCTCTAGAGCTACCAAGTCAGAGCAGATCAAAGCTTTTGGTGTTAAGCAGCAGCTCTGGGTGCCCAGCTCTGTGTCCCATGATCCCAGGGTGGTCTGAGAGGCACAGCTGGAGTCTACTGATCAGCAAGGCCAGTGTTCTGTGTTGGGGAATCTGGTGCCTCAGGAGTGTAGGGAGTCCCAGATGCACTTGTTCCAGTCCCTCCCTCGGCAGCCATTCAAGCGGGGAAGTCGCTGGAGGAGCCCAGTCTCCCGCCCCCAGAGGGGGCCCCACGCCTGGTGCCGGAAACACAAAGGGAGCCCAGGGAGAAGAATGGTGAGGTCCGGTGGCTCTGGCCTGAGGAATCCCGCCCCAGGAGGAGAGACAGTAGGGCACACTTAGCGTCAAAGAACTTCCCTGAGGGAACAGAAAGCAGGTCTCAGGCATACCATCTCAAAATAAGGGCCCTTAAAACACTCTCCCAAACCTGGCATGACTCTATAAGGTCAAGTGACCCTCACAAATGCCACCGCCCCGGATCTTGGCAGGGGCCTTTTCAGGAGTAAGATACGTGTGGCAGCGGAGCAGGGGAGGAAGAGGGGGCCTTTCCTCACCTGGAGAAGCCTTTCCCACAGCTCTGGCAGATGTAAGGCTTGCCCACGGACCCGTCATGGGACCGCACATGGTAGGACATGCGGTCTTTTCTCTTGAACCGCAGCCCACACACAGGGCAGGAATAGGGCTTCTCCCCAGAGTGGGACAGCTTGTGCCGGTTGAGATGATACACATCACGGAAGATCTTGCCGCAGATCTCACAAGCCACCTGCTTCCTGGTCCGGCTCCTCTTTCGGGGGCCGTCGGGGTCTTCAGAGATGGGTAGCCCATTCTCACCCAGCCTCGGAGGAGGAAGGTCGATGTAGCCCAGCTGGAGGCTGGTGACACCGTGCTGGGCCTCATGCTGCCGGAGCCGGTTGGCATCAGTGAACACCTTCCCACACAGACCGCATGGAAGGATGCCGGCCTCCCTCAGGCCCCCTGGGGACCCAAACATTGAGTCCAGCAGGTTGGCCTTCCTTGGGCGGCCCCGGCCTCGCTTGCCAGTCAGGGGAGGGGCACTGGATGCCACATTGGGGAATGGGGAAGTCAGCAGTTGTGGGGATAGGGGTCCAGCCACCATGGGCAAGCGGTCCACCCCAGGTAACACAGGCAAGGAGGCTTGGCCTGCAATGGCTGCACCAGCCGCCCGAGCTGCCTCCTCCTCTGGCTGCATGCTGCCCGCGATGCCATTGCTGTTGGCTGCCAAGGCTGCCCCGTTGGTCATGTCCAAAGGGAAGCCCAAGTCCGAGGTCCCAGGGGGGCGAAAGAGCATTATATCGGCGCGGGCAGGGGGTACCAGGATCTGTACGTTGGACTGTTTGATGACTTCCTGGCAGATCTCGATAACCGACCTCATCAGCAGGAACTTGGCGGCCGTCATGAGTTCGGGAAAGCTCTCCAGTCGCACCACGATGCGGGAAGTGTAGGCGAAGTCCAGAATGTCCCCAAATACCTTGGAGCTGATAGTGTGCATCTCCAGCTCCCGGCTGCCCCCGGCCCCGCCGCCTGGGGCTGCCGTCGCGCCCCCTACATCAGCCGGACCCCCGTCCGCAGCTCCGCTGTCGCCCAACTGGGCGCTGAACACCGATTCAAAGTACTCGCTGCAGGCGGCCAGCACGGCGCGGTGCGCTGGGAAGCTCTCGTCGCCTACCCGCAGGAGCACGTCGCAGAAGCGCCCGCCGTTCTTGCGCTGCTGGTTCAGGTTGTGCAGCATCTCCGTGCTGTGTCTGCTCACCTGGTACGTGTAGCAGCCAGACGGGCCGCAGGAAGCGTCGTTCACCCGCTCCATGGCCGCCGCCCCCTCCCACTAGCCCGGCCGCCGCACCTGCCCGCCCCCTCCCTTCCCCTAGGCAGCGAGAAGCGGGGCACAACAGACGTGTCCACACTCCCCACACGTGCCGGCCCGGGGCTCTGTAGTCTCGCAGGTGCGCCAAGCGTACACGCCCCCAGCCCGGATCGGACTGTCTAGACTGCGGGGTGCACCACCATCCCCCACATAGCCAACCCCCGCCCTCGCTGGACTGCGCGCCGCTCTCTCCTCTCCGCCCGCCCGCCTCCCCTTCCCGGTCTACCTTCCGGGGGGGTGCGCGAGCGAAGAGGTGCGCCCCTCCTGCAAACGCGCCTGCCACCTCCCCTCCCGCCCGCCAGGCGGCGCCGGCGCGCAGCCAAGAGGGGCACGCGCACGCGGGGAGGAGAAGGAGGGGGGTCCGCCGCGCAGGCGCGCGCGCGCGCCGCGGCTTTTCCCGGGCCCGCTGGGGGCGCGCGCTGCGTCCCCTGCAAAGCGCGAGCCGGGGCGGGGGCGCCGGAGCGGAGGAAACAAAAGGCGAAGGCGGCGGCGGCGGGGCGCGCACGGGGGCGGTGGCGCGGGCCGGGTCCCGGAGCCTGGAGGGCGGTGGCGACGGCGGCGGCTGGAGCGGGCGGGCGGCGGCGGCGGCGGCAGAGTAGGCCCTTCCCCGGGCCGGGAGAAGGCGGCGGCGGAGCGGCGGCGTTGCGGCCCCGGGCTCCGTGTGTTCGGAGCGGAGGAAAGATGGCAGCGGCTGCACTTCCTCTTGCACTTTCACCCCTGGGGGGAGGAGAAGGAGGGGGCGATACCAACAACACCCCCCCCTCTCGCTTGCAGAAAAAAAAGAAACGGCGAGCTCAGAGTGGGGGGCCCCTGGCGCCCCCGGCCTTGCACGTGCGCGCCCGGATGCCTAGTCCGGGCCGCCTCGCGCTGCAAACTTTCCACTTTCTTTGTGCCGAGCGCCCCCCCCTCACCAAGCCGAGGATGCACGTCCCCCCTTCCCTATTTATACACCCCCCCCCGCAGCTCTGCTCCCCCCGCTTCCTGCCCCCCCTCCCCATTCCGCAGATCCGCCAATGCTAGAGCAGCCTGAGCCCCCGTCCGGCCCCCGCCTCCCCACCCCGCCCGCGGGGCCGGGGGCTGCAGTCTCAGCCCCCCCGGACCAATGCAAACGAAGCGCCGAGCCAGCAAACCAGCTCCCACTGCCCCACCCCTGCCCGCTGAGAGTGGCGGCTAGCAGGGTTGGGGGGGCAGGAACTGAGGGGTGCGGATCCGGGCCCCCCAGCCTGCGATGAGCACTCGCAGGTCGAGCGGGCGTCGTCCACCCTTCGGAGCCCCGCTTTCATGCGCGAAATCCCCAGAAGTCGCCTGCGACCGCCTCCCTGCTTCAAACACCAGAGAGGGCCCGGGGTCCTGGCCGGAGACAGGCCGAACCTCCGGAGCTCCTTCTGCACCCGGTACATGGACCGAACTGATGGGCTGCGCGCCCGGAAGAGCTGGGGAGATGAGGCCAGCGTCCAGCTTCTCCCCCAAACCCAGCACGCCGAGCTTTGTCCCCGGGGAGCGTGAAGTCACCAGCTCCGGGAGGCGACAATATGAGGGCGATGGACGGGGCAGGGACCCCCGGAAGCCCCAGCAGTTCTCGGGGAAGTGGGGGTGCCAGAGGAGTCGGGGACACTCTCGGGCCTCTCCAAGCCGGGAGCATCCCCAGCGCCCGCAGCCCTGTGAGACGCCGGGTGTTCTGGTTATGGGCCCTGCCGCCAGGCCTCGGCGCTTTGTCCCCGGCCCGCCCGGGGATGCTACCGCGCTAGAGTTGTACACCAAGGTTTGCCTTCCCAGGAAGCGCTGGCGGCCGCCTGGCGCAGAGCCCCAGGCAGCAGGCGCCGCGTGTGCGGGCGGGAAGTTCCCACAGTTGCAAAGAGGGAGCGAAGTATATGTTCCAAACTTTCCACGGTTCCAAACTGAGCGCTTCCATTAAGAGAAGCGGTGTGCGGGGGAAAAGCATTCTGGGTATTAGCATGCAAATGAACGGGCCCGGCTTCCAACTCCGCTCGGGATTCCCACCGCTACGCGCCGAGCTCGCGCCCAGCCACGCGCGCCCTGAGGCTTCCGGGCGTTGCCCTGGCGTTTGATCCGAGTTCAAAATCGAGACATCTACCTTCTGGTTTTGTGTCCCGGTGCTTAGTCACTTGGCCTCCCTGAGATTCAGTTAAACTGACTGTTCCTTAACCTATACACGGGGACAGCAGCACCTGTCTTGCACACCTCCGCTCTAGGGCATAGTATATGCCAAACTCTGTTGGAGAGAATGAATGAGCCTTAGAGGCTTGAAGAAAGTTCCCTGGACATGAAGCCAGGAGTTCTGTGTCCTAAGCCCAGACTCACTGTCACCTTGGGCTAGTGACTCCTTCTCTGAGCCACAGCTTTCTTGGGCGGATTTTGGGAACTGGCACGTTTTATTTTTGAGGGAGCTGCTGGGAAAGGGTCCGGGCGCGGCAGCTCACGCCTGTAATCCCAGCACTTGGGGAGGCTGAGGTGGGCGGAGCACCTGAGGTCGGGAGTTCGAGACCAGTCTGACCAACATGGAGAAACCCCGTCTCTACTAAAAATAAAAAATCAGCCGGGCGTGGTGGCACATGCCTATAATCCTAGCTACTCGGAAGGTTGAGTCAGGAGAATCACTGGAACCCGGGAGGCGGAGGTTGCGGCGAGCCGAGATCGCGTCATTGCACTCCAGTCTGGGCAACGAGCGAAACTGTCTTTAAAAAAAAAAAAAAAAAAAAAAGAGATAAAGAAGGGTTTGCTCTGAGTGTCCAGTGTATACACCCATTGTCTCTCCATAGTAGGTGTAGATATTCCCATTCTACCATTGGAACTGGGTAAGGAGTAACCTGCCCAAGGCCACACAGATAGTGATGGAGCCAGGATTCAAACTGGTAAAACTACCCCTTTCTCACCAGTGGCTTCTGAAACCTGTCACCCTTCCATGGCTCCACTTGAACCAGGAACTGACTCTCTGCCTGCTATACTTAGAAAACAGGGTGCCATGACTGGCCCCATCCAACGGGTTCACCCTGTGAAGGTGGGTTCATAGGGTGCTCTCAGGACCCTCATCCATGGTCCTCTAAGGAAAACAGGGAACATGCATCAGCCCTGTTTTGCAGATAGGCAGCTTGAGGGTCAAGGAGCCAGGGTGGCCCGGGATCCTACCTTGGGGAAGTGGCCAGAGACCGTCCAGATGCCGTTCTGATCCCACCTGGGAGCTTTTATCCAAATGTCACCTTGGCAGTGTGATTGTAGGGGTGGGAGTAACCTCTCCACTTCATCCATTACTCTCAGTCTTGCCCATCTCTCAGGCTCCCAGGAATCCATTATGTAACTTCAGGCGAAAAGGCATGCTTGCAGAACATGTCTTTTTTTTTTTTGATGTAACATTTACATGACATAAAATTAACAATTTTAAAGTGTATAATTGACTAGCACCTAGTAGATTTACAATGTTGTGCAACCAGCACCTGTGTCGAGTTGCAAAACATTTTTATCATCCCAAAAGAAAACTCCATACACATTAATAAGTCACTTTCCATTCCCTTCTCCCTCCATCCCCTGGCAACCACCAATCTGCATTCTGTCTCTATGGATTTACCTATTCTGGATATTTTATTTATTTATTTTTTTTTTAATCTTTTTGAGACAAAGTCTCACTCGGTCACCCAGGCTGGAGTGCAGTGGTGCAATCTCGGCTCGCTACAACCTCTGCCTCCTGGGTTCAAGCGATTCTCCTGCCTCAGTCTCCCAGGTAGCTGGGATTACAGACTCACGCCACCATGCCCAGCTAATTTTTGTATTTTCAGTAGCGACGGGGTTTTGCCATGTTGGCCAGACTAGTCTTGAACTCCTGACCTCAGGTGATTTGCCCACCTCAGCCTCCCAAAGTGCTGGGATTATACACATAAGCCACCATGCCCCGCCTGGATATTTTATTTAGATGGAATTATACAATACTGTATGTGACCTTTTGGGTCTGGCTTCTTTCAGTTAACGTAATGTTTTCAAGGTTCATTCATGTTGTATTATGTATAAATACTTCATTCCTTTTTATGACTGGCTGAATGATACGCCATTGTATGGATATACTGCCTTTATCCATTCATCCATTGATGCCTTTTAGTTATTATGGATAGTGCAACTATGAACATTTGTGCACAAGTATTTATTTGAGTGCCTATCTTCAGTTCTCTTGGGTGTATACCTAGGAGTGGAATTGCTGGGTAATCCTATGTATAACTTACTGAGGAACCACCAGACTCTTCCACAGTGACTCCACCATTTTACATTCCTACCACACATGTCTTTTTATAAATAATTTTAGTGCTGGTCAAACCTCATTTTATGAATGAGGCCCAGAGAGGTTAAGTAATTTGCCCAAGGTCACACCCTTAGTCAGAGTTTAGACTAAAACCAAACTTTCCTGAGTTCCTAGCCTTTCAAACACTAAGAGCCTCCCATGTCACCTTTAAAGACCTCGACTACTTGCCCGAGTTTTTCATTGATTGACTTGACAAACCTGCCTGGTGAACAACTGAGCCGTATTTATGAAGCTTTTTTTCTCTCAACATCTGTTGAAAGAACCTACTGCCATGTTCCCGATTTCTAGGCCACACCTTGAAAACATGCAGAGCTCACAATCCCTGCATCTGCCTCCTGCTGCTGGCCTGTCGGGCCCTCTTCTGTTGCCATGGAAACCGTGCACCTCAGTTTTGGCAGCAGACCAGCTGGACAGCGAACTGAGAACATCCTTGTCTCCTAGGCTAAGCAGAGCTGTCAAGGTCATGTATTCATTCACTAGATTTGTATTTACTGATTACCTACTAAGCACCAGGCTTTTGTTTTGTAAGATGCTAGGGATACAGCAGTGAACAAGCCAGACCACAGATCCTGCCCTCAAGGAACCCGTAGTCTAGAGGAGACAGACAAAAACCAAGGAACAAAAAGGCTTCACCTGGCTCCCCTCCCTAGTTCACATTCTCCCAATCTTCCAGGCTGTGCTAAATCCACTTCCTCTGGACCATCCCCCCAAGAGCCCAAATGCAGGTGATAACTCCTCTCAGGATTTACGTTGCATTTTTTGTTGTTACTGTTTTTCCCTGATTGTAAAAGTGCTATGTGCATTGTGGAAAATGTAGAAAATACACAAAAGCACAAAGAAGAAAAATTAAATAAAGATCTGTAATTTCACCACCAAGAGTCAAGTGCTGCCAACATTTCCTTCTGGTCTTTTTCTACATATGTATATTTCTGGGGTTTTTTTGTTGTTTTTTTGTTTTTTAATTATTGGGTCTTATTTTACACACTGCTTTATAAAATTATGTCATTAAAAAGATTTTGTTTGTTTGTTTTTTTGTTTTTTGATACGGAGTTTTGCTCTTGTTGCCCAGGCTGGAGTGCAGTGGCACGATCTCGGCTCACTGCAACCTCTGCCTCCCAGGTTCAAGCGATTCTCCTGCCTCAGCCTCCCAAGTAGCTGGGATTACAGGCATACACCACCAAGCCCAGCTAATTTTGTATATTTTAGTACAGACAGGGTTTCACTATGTTAGTCAGGCTGGCCTCAAACTCCTGACCTCAAGTGATCCACCCACCTCGGCCTCCCAAAGTGCTTGAGCCACCACATCTGGCAAAAAAGTATTCTTTTTCCCAACACATTTCGCAGTTCCCCAAGGGCAGGGACAGGGCATTAATAATAATAACAAATTTGGCCAGGTGGCTCACACCTGTAATCCCTGCACTTTGGGAGGCTGAGGCGGGTGGATCACCTGAGGTCAGAGACCATCCTGGCCAATATGATGAAACTCCGTCTCCACTAAAAATACAAAAAATTAGCTGGGCGTGGTAGCACGTGCCTATAATCCCAGCTACTCAGGAGGCTGAGGCAGGAGAATCGCTTGAACCCTGGAGGCAGACGTTGCAGTGACCTGAGATCATGCTACTGTACTCCAGCCTGGGCAACAAGAGCAAGACTCCATCTCAAAAACAACAACTAATAATAATAATAATAGGGCGCAGTGGCTCACGCCTGTAATCCTGGCACTTTGGAAGGCTGAGGTGGGTGGATCACAAGGTCAGGGGTTCGAGACCAGTCTGACCAACATGGTGAAACCCTGTGTTTACTAAAAATACAAAAATTAGCCGGGCGTGGTGGCACACACCTGTAATCCCAGCTACTCGGGAGACTGAGGCAGGAGAATCTCTTGAACCCAGGAGGCGGAGGTTGCAGTGAGAGGAGATCACGCCACTGCACTCCAGCCCGGGCAACAGAGTGAGACTCTGTCTCAAAATAATAACAATAACAATAACAAATTTGTTAAGCACTAACTGTGCCAGCCATGGTGCTGAGACCACTCCTTGGTTTACCCTCTGGAATCCTCACAACAACACTATGAGGCACTTACTCTGATGATTCTCATTTTCCTGCTGTGGAAACTGAGGAAAGAACAGATAGGGAAGGGAGAGGAAGGCCCAAAGCATGCTGAATAGCAGGGCTGTGTGGGTACCTCTGCCTACTCCAAGGGCTTTCAGCACAAATCCAGGCTGCCAGGCTTCATTGAGGACCTGATGGGAGGAGGCGATGGAGGGAAACACAGGAATGAGGCACCCCAGTTTCTGCCCCACTTGCCTTTAGCCTTTATCAGTCTTGCTTAGAATGCATGTGAAGCCAACACACTTCCTTTGCTCTCTTCAATGTTGGGCTGTTGGGCTTCTTAATAACAAAAGCAACAAGACCATTCCTTGAACAATCATGATACTTCAAGCATGAACGGAGTTGGTTTGGAGCCAGACAGACACAAATTCAAGTTCAAGGTCTGCCCTTGCTGATAGTTTGGCTTTGGGAGAACAGTGCCAGAGGTTCATTTAACCCCCACAGCCTTTCTCTGAGGGTAGGATCATTGCCCCTGTCTTTTGTTTTCTCAGAGACAGGGTCTCTGTCACTAGGGTTGGCATGTACTGTCACCATAGCTCACCGCAGTCTGGAATGTCTTGGACTCAAGTAATCCTCCTGCCTCCACCTCTGGAGTAGCCGGGACTCTGCAGTATGCCACCACGCCCAGAACATTTTTACAAATGTTTGTAGAGATAGAGTCTCACTGTGTTGCCCAGGCTGGTTTCAAACTCCTGGCCTCAAGCAATCCTCATGCCTCAACCTTCCACAGGGCTGGAATTACAGATGTGAGCCACTATACCCAGCCATTGCCCCCTGTTTGTAGGTGAGCCAACTGGAAAGTTAGGGGGTTCATCCAAGCCTGCACTTGTAAAGGGTGTGGTCCAAACTGAGCGCAGGTCTCCCTGATTCCAACAGCCAGGTTCTTTCCCCAGCACCTTGGACCTCTTTTCTTTCTCAGCAATTGGATTTCCTTCATGACTGGGAGAAGTGGGCAAATCCTCCACCTGACACGGAGGCCTAGCTCCTTCAGCTACACGAGGATCTTGCAGGAGGCAGAGGCTCAGCAGTTCCTGCCTCCCCACTCCGTCTGAGTTATCTCAGCCCCTCCATG